GTATTTGATGATACATTATCACCAATAAAACCTGATGCTATTTTTCCAAATAATTGGTTTACAACACATTCCGATGGAACAATTATTCTCTATCCAATGCTTGCAGAAAATCGTCGTCTCGAACGTCGTGAAGATCTTATTAAAAAATTATCTCAAATTTATCATGTTACAGCTATTATTGATTTAAGTATATATGAACAACGAAATCAATATCTTGAAGGTACTGGTTCATTAGTACTTGATCGTATAAATAAAATTGTTTATGCTGTACGATCACCACGTACACATGAAATAATTATTCAACATTTTACTAAATTAATGAATTATCAACAACCTCCTATTATATTTGATAGTGTTGATGATAAACAAAAACCAATTTATCATACAAATGTTATGATGGCTATTGGTACATATGTTGCTATTATATGTTTAGATTCAATTATTGATAAAGATCAAAGAAAAACTATTGTAAAATTACTTGAACAAAATGGAAAACGAAAAATTATTAATATTACACTTGAACAAATGAAATATTTTGCTGGTAATATGCTTGAAATACAAAATAAACAAGGTCATTATTTATTAGTTATGTCAAAAACAGCTTATAATTCATTAAATGATGAACAACGAAATTTAATTGAAAAAACAAATACTCAATTAATTTATTTTGATGTATCAACTATTGAACAATGTGGTGGAGGAAGTGTTCGATGTATGATTGCAGAAAATTTTCTTTATCAAAATAATTAATATATTTTATGTAATTCATTTTCTTTATATTTATACATAAATCTAAATTATTTTTCTTACCTTCATTCTCTTCGAATCCTAATCTATAAAGAGCAGACATACAAGTTTTGGAAAGTGACATGGATGTATTTATTGATGATATACAAGGTAAAGGTGCTAAAGTACCATCTAAACAAGAATGATTCCAATTTTGTGAAATACGTACAATTGGACTAGTACATTGAATACATGATAACTGAAAGCCTGCAAAAAAAAAATAAAAATTCATAAAAATATCTTTTCTTTTTCATGAACAAAATACTAACTAGCTTGAATAAAACATACAATAAAGACTAGAATGAATTCCTTAATTTTTAAGTGCATTTTCATACAACTAGAAATGAATATCTATTATGTAAGTTATTCTTTATATAATAATTCAAACAAAAAAACCTTGTTTTTCAATAATGAAAGTCAACTGAATATTATAAATTAAGCCATTATATTAAAAACAAAAGGCAAAGCGGATAGAAAGAAAAAGGATGTTGGAAACAAGTCTCTTTTATGATTATCTTTCATCGTGTTTCTTGGTATTAAGTTACTCACACATAAAAAAAAAAGAATCGACAATATTTCAAATAAGAGAAAAAGAAAAGAAATCCCGAGCAAGTACGTTCAACAGTCGTTTCTTTTTCTTTTTATATCTTTCTCAACAATCAGAATCGATAGAATTCAAGTATTTTGTTTTTCTTAATCGAAATTGATAGACGATCATTTTCCGAGACACCACGTGAAAACAATTATTATTAATCCATTGTGAGCAACATCTTTGTTATCTCGAAAATCAATTGTAAAATCATGTAGATCATAATATATTTCTTGTTGAAAAATGAAAACCAATGATCATTCATTTTTACTTTTTAAGGTTTTCAATATAACGATCATGAATACTTTATATATTCTTATGAAAATCACTATCAGCCTTGTTCGCGTCTTCTCATTTGCGAAGATAAAATCGAAGTTCAAAATCTGTTAAATTTAATTTTAATTATTTTTTAAATTTAATTTATTCAAATTGAAAATAATCTTAGGTCTCAAATTTTCGTTTTTTCAAATTTTTAAGAAAATTATTGGTAACAATTTTAATACGACTGATGATTTTAGTTACATTTTTATACTTGCTGAAATTGATGGAGTTCGCTAAAGATTGAGTTTCATTATTTCAATTTAACGAACTGCAATTTATAGAGAGTGCTAAACTACAATAGTATTTTCTTTCTTTTTAATTACTGCAATTTATAGAGTTCACTTAATATTGAGTTTCACTATTTCAATTTAATGAGCTGTAATTTGTAGAGTGCGCTAAAACATAGTAATCCTTTATTTTTCTTAATTAATTGCAATTTATAGAGCTCGCCAGACATAATTGTTACTATGAATGTTATGAGCTGTTTTTGATTTGAACAAACCATCTAATTGTGATTATAAAATGTAACCAATCATCGAGTCGAGACAACTGATTGAGATGCAAAAGCATTTATATATAAAAATTAAAAATACAAAAATATGATGTTCTAAGAACGATGGTTTAGAAATATGGATGTTGATGAGTATCTTCTCTTGACGAACACAGTCCGATTCGCCTCCACTACATTATGAACAAGTAACGCTCGTCCGAGTGACTCGCTTGACCCTCGACTGTATTTTCGGCCCTTTGATATTTTATAGTGCTTTACATTGTTCAACAAGCTAGTACCCAATATTTCACAAGAGTGAGTAGGTGTTTGTACATTGGTATTAGCATCAATTGCATTGTGCACGATGGTATGTGGGTCCGGATGATCATTTTTGTCACGAATACATCCAATCAATTTGATACCATTACACTGACACTCAATAAAAATCTAAAGAACTAAACTATAGTGGGGATACCCACATGTCCCCCCAACAAGAAGAGGTTTTATTCAGTTTGCTGAGAGACATTAAAACAAAAAATATTTGCGACAATTTTGTGAAATCGTGCTATACTCTTTAAAACTTATACTAAAAATCGATTCACTTACTAACGCGTGAACTAACGAAACCTTACTGGACAGGTAATTCGAGTATATCAGAATACATGCACATACTTAAGTTAATGCAAAGAAAAGCATATACCAAGAGAAACTCTGGTTTATTGCATTCATGTCTACTGCTGATACAGCAAATATAAATTCTTCGATTGATGTTTTTCGTCTGATAAATTATTTAGCTATTCTGTCTAAACACAAAAACTGATTCTTATCTATGACTTGACATAGTTTTTTCAACTGTTTGCATATGATATTGCTTAATCAAACCCATTGAACATTGGCTATTCATGCTTATTCAGTGAAGCCCAATAGTTTTAATCGGCATTTCTGCAGATAATCCACTGCAGCAGCAAGTCGCTCGTCGGCACCCCTTTGGAGCGCCACTCGCGACTAGCTGCTGCCACCTTTGATCTTATTTTGCCCTGACATAAATCCTTTCACTTAAACCCTATCAAATGCCAGATTGGTCTTACTTACAAAACTATTACTTTTATAAAACAGCCATGACTACATTTACCACGATTCTAACAAAACTACAAAATAAAAAAGCTGAATATCTCACCATCATGTTCTTCTTTCTCCACTATTAGAGGAAAATTGCGATCCGGATATAACTTAAACCTTGACAGTATTGTCAAAAAAACTACACCCCTTTAACTACAAACAATGAACTCATATTTTGTCCAATTCCAGATGCAAAATGTCTGACTCACTAGAGTAGTCCTACACAAAGCATCACCAATTAGAAACTCAGCTAAAAACAAGCCTCATCCATGGAAACCCGGTTATGAAATTGCTGATTAAGGGGAAACTTATCACATACGTCAAATTGACTGAATTTTCAGTGTGAAAAATCGAATTGGTTGAAAGTCATATTAAAAGCAGGGGCACCAAACACCTCGCCAACGTTTTTATGATGTTTTACCTTTCACTCTAACAAAAATAGACAAAAATTCATTTTATTTCATATAACCCTTGCTACACTCGAGGAAATATTATTTACTCAAAAAAAAACTTTTCTCCTCAGCCTAAAAGAACTCAATGAGAAATCTCGAAAAACTGACTTCAGAATCGAATTCCCCGACTCCGACTTACTTTCGTCAACCTTTATCAGATATCGTTATTTTCTCAGAAAACCCATCCGTTGACCCAAGAAACTCAATTCAAAATTTCGAAAAGCTGACTTCCGATTCGGATTTCCTACCCTCCATTACCTTTTGGTCAAGTTTAATTGAAAACATTAATAATTAATAATCAATTAATAATTAGATAATAATTAGTTAATAATTAATTAAAATTAACCTCAGATTCGAGTTCTCCACCCTCGATTACCTATTGGTCAAGTTTTATAAAAAACATTAATAATTAATAATCAATTAATAATTAGTTAATAATTAGTTAAAACTAACCTCAGATTCGAGTTCCCCACCCTCGATTACCCTTTGGTCAAGTTTTATGCAGAAGCGGATGTTTTTTTGATCCTGATGTTCTTTTGACCCTGACACAAACATACATACACACAAACTATTTTTTTTCATATGACCCTCCTTTCAGTCGAGGGAATAAATATCGAATTATCACAAAAACTTATGACACAACCTTCTTTAAAACTCACTTTGTCTTTAATTAAAATCCTTCTTACCTCATCCTAAATCGACGATCCTTGCTCGTGCATTATGAGTATTGGTTTATCACTAACAAAAGAAACACAAATCAGCTAGTACATTCCATTTTTGACTTCCATTAAAATTCTTCGTAGTTAAGTCCAAACAAAAATTTTTGTCGAACAAATATCTAACGTCCTCTACAAACTGCAGTAACTATCTGAAGCTCAAAAACTTTCTATTGTCAAAAACTAACATCCTCTACAAATTACAGTAACTGTCTAAAGTTCAAAAAGCTTTCTATTGTCAAACGCTAACGTCCTATACAAATTACAGTGACTACCCGAAACTAATAAATTTTCAATTGTCAAAAACTAACGTCCTCTACAAATTGCAACATACTTAGCTACAATAAAACAACTTTTATTAAAATCTTTCAAAAAAATTTACTTTCTATATTCGTTCTCAATAATCAAATTTTTAAAAGTTAACTATAAATTTTAATCGTTTTACAAAAAATTAATAAAATAATCAACTTTAAATCAAACGAAGTTTTAAAAGTTTTAATTTACTTAAATTTATTTTCTTTATGTTCGCAAATGAGAAGTAGCCCATCCCACTCACATCCCACAACCCACACACCCGCAAAAAGTCGAACACTATTATCCCCGGCATTCTCCACAACTGTGTCGGAAACACTTGATATTTTGGATTTATTAGATTCTCGTCATGATCTTTCATTCCCGCTAAAAAAAACATCGAAAACAAAATTTAGCAGTCGCTGATCTCTTGGAAAGTATATTGTATGTTATATCTTATGGGAGCAAAATAAAAATATTCTATGCACTTGAATGCTTTTAGAGTTTTTATTAGGACACTATGTACTATCTACAAACAAAATTTCATGGAAATCCAAGGTGAAGAGCACCTGGTCATGTTGCCTCGTCAGTTGTTTTTGTATTTTCTCATACATCAAATGAATTCAAATATTTACAATCTCTTGTAATCATTGATCTACATATTTAAATAGAATAACTATTTCTGATAAATTTTTAGTCTTCATCATATATCTTCATTCATATTTCACAACGACAAAGAATGATAGAATACCAAAAATATGAAAACAAAACAATAACAAATAACTGTATTTAATAGTCTTTGTGACGAGGATCAAATATACGTTTTCCAATTTGAATTGAAGCACCAGTTGTTGGTACTTGTAATGTTGGTTCATCAGTTGGATTAAATACTCGTTTAAAATTGAATTTCATTAATTCTTCACTAAGTACAATTGTTTCTCGTAATTGTTTGATCGATATTTTGAGGGAGAGATGATCTATTACATCTGAAATTTAAAAAAATCCATATAAAAGATGAATTTATATAAAATTAAATTGTAGAAAACTTTCTTGTAGAAAAATAATTTTATATTTACAGATACTTACTTGCATATGTTCTTTCTAGAAACAATTTCTTAAGATAATCCAATGGAATAATACGATAACTGTTGTTGAATTTTGTAACAATTTCATCGATCTAAAGTGGAGGGAAAAAGTTTAAAACACTTTTTGTTTTTCATTTTTCTCCATTAAAGACCGGTTTTAAAGGAAATCCAAATAATGATTTCGATAGCTCTTGGAACGAGCTACAAATCTATCACATCGAAAACATTGCCGCTGAATCGGTTCAGTTTTTATGACGGAAACTATTTTTATCCAGCGCAAAAAAAATTTAAGGCACTTTTTGTGTTTTATCGATTTTACCATTACCGAAGAACCGAAAGCAAAAAATATACCATTAGGTCCAGAATGGAACGGCCCACGTTTTGATATAACTATTTTTCAAAAACTATTGATTCTAATAATTAATAATTATTAATTATTAATTAACAGTTATAGAAAAGTTTTGCCATAATTTTCGACTTCGAAGTACACTGTAAGCATGAATATGAAAAACTAAACAAAACTGTATTTTTTGTTTTACAACAACCGATTTTAATGCGACTTTTTAAGCACACTTTTGAAACTTAATTAATAATGCACTAATAATTAAGAAAATTGAATTTTAAGAGGAAGCTTCAGAACTCTGAAAACCAATGTATTTTGTAGAGTAGAGCATGTTCTACCGAACGAAACCTAGCGGTCTTTTGTACAATGTGCCAGCAATTGCAGAATGCCTATCAAGCAGAATTCAGAATTCTGTGGACTTCTATATTTTTTTAAAACGATTTGATTATACAATTCTTTTCCGATCTGTCTATATTCTCCCTAGAATTCTGTATCATCAAAGACAACGTATTCCGTACTGATCTATTTAAATTCTGCTAAGAATTCTGTAGAATTCTGTGTAATCAAACACAACGCATTTCGTTCTGATCTGTTTAAATTCTGCATAGAATTCTGTATTATCAAAGATGATGTGTTCCATTCTGGTCTGTTTAAATTCTGCTTGGAATTCTGTAGAATTCTGTGTTATCAAAAATAACGTTCTTTCCTCTAGGAGATATACAATTCAAGCATGTTTATATCAAATTTCGTAGTCGGTTAGTAGTAACAGAATGCTGTTTTAAATTCTGCTGAGACTTTTAAATTCTTCATGGGATTTTTCTTTTCTCTTGGGAGACATCCCATTCTACTATGCCTGTTCAAAGTTTATATTCTGTTAGTAGTAACAGAACTCTGTTTTAAATTCTGCTGACATTTTGAAATTCTTCATCAGAATTTTTCTTTTCTCTTGAGGACATACCATTTTAGTATGCCTATTGAAAGTTTATATTCTGTTAGTGGTAACAGAATTCTGTTTTAAATTCTGCTGACATTTTGAAACTCTTCATTAGAATTTTTTTTCTCTTGGGAACATACCATTTTAGTATACCTAGTGAAAGTTTATATTCTGTTAGTGGTAACAGGATTCTGAGTGTGCCGATTAGTAATTTATTTGCTAATGGGAATATATCTTAGGGAACTAATCCATTGTTTACCGATTGGATTTTTAGATTCTGAATACTGATTGGGAAGAATTCTGCAGCCCCTGTTGAAATTGCTGATAAAAATTGAAAACGTTATCTAACTTGAATACTGCGTTGCAAAAAAAGATCGCTAGGTCTCGTTCGATAGAACATGCTCTACTCTACAAAATACATTGGTTTTCAGAGTTCGGAAGCTTCCTCTTAAAATTCAATTTTCTTAATTATTAGTGCATTATTAATTAAGTTTCAAAAGTGTGCTTAAAAAGTCGCATTAAAATCGGTTGTTGTAAAACAAAAAATACAGTTTTGTTTAGTTTTTCATATTCATGCTTACAGTGTACTTCGAAGTCGAAAATTATGGCAAAACTTTTCTATAACTGTTAATTAATAATTATTAATTATTAGAATCAATAGTTTTTGAAAAATAGTTATATCAGAACGTAGGCCGTTCCATTCTGGACCTAATGGTATATTTTTTGCTTTCGGTTCTTCGGTAATGGTAAAATCGATAAAACACAAAAAGTGCCTTAAATTTTTTTTGCGCTGGGTAAAAATAGTTTCCGTCATAAAAACTGAACCGATTCAGCGGCAATGTTTTCGATATGATAGATTTGTAGCTCGTTCCAAGAGCTATCGAAATCATTATTTGGATTTCCTTTAAAACCGGTCTTTAATGGAGAAAAATGAAAAACAAAAAGTGTTTTAAACTTTTTCCTTCCACTTTAAATATAAAATAATTAGTGTGATATTTTCTAACAATATATTATCTCTAACCAAAAATTTTGGATGTTCAGGACCATAATGTTGAATACGAAATCCGAAGAGTAAAAATTCAATTGCATCACCAGCTTCTTCCATTAATACTCCTATACGAAATAAAGCCAAAGATTTAAAAATTTGGTAGAACAAAAAAAGAAATTTCACCTTTTGGTGTTGCTAAGTCATGATCCATATTACAGGCATAATGATGAAATGACCAATGTCCAAGTTCATGTATAGTTGTAAACAGTATGAGTGCACCATATTTAATCACATCATTTGGATGATCATCTGCTTTAGAACAGTCTATTAACTAAAAGAACACTTTTTAAATGAATAAAAATTATCAAGTAAAAATTTTTTGACTTCTTTATTTAAATATATAATATTTATATCTGTTTCTTTTTGTCTTCCTGAATAATCTCCATAAACAGCACCGTGCACAGGTGCAATAATAAGTTCATCTTGTTGAAGAATAATTGAAGGAATATTTGATTGAGTAAACGCGTCCCTAATTTGATTCATAATGGTTTCAGAAACATTATTCTAAAAACAGAAAATCTATCTTCGTTCAGCATCTCTTCGCAGAATTTACCGGAAATATGCCAGTATATTCATCAAATGGAACAAAATGTGCACTGAAATTGCTTAATAGAAAATCATTTGTTAAAATTTTTGATAAGGCACACAAGGCAATATTTAAAGCAGGATATGTTTCAATTAGTACTTCATCAAGTCCAAAAGTTAATTCATATTTTGGTAAATCACACCATGATAAAGAACATTTATTTGACATGTTCGGTTAGCTTCAATGTAGTATCTGGTATGAGAACAATGAATATAATGAATTCAACAGCTACATTTTGATTAGCTATCTTATGCATGACTGATTTAAGACGCGATTTTATGTCAAAAAGAGTGTAAATAAGTGACATCTATGGTCAATAGTTCAGCTATGCTTGGTTATATGCTAACTTAGATAAACAGTCAAGATCATTTATATGGTTTGATTACATTCACACTTTTTTAGTTTATGTCTTCATTCGAAGTGTGCCAATTTCGAAATTTTTCTATTGTAAGAGATTTGAATCGAATTTTCATTTATTTTGCATGTAACTCCTCTATTGAAACAAATTCATCGATTCTAAATTTACCACTGAATACTTTTGGTTCTGAATGTGATAGACATGCTTTGATATAAAACAGGACATTGACACGTATCTTATTAAAAATTCTACACGTTTTTGTACATCCTTTTGTTTTCTAAATATTTTTATATAGAATTCAAGGTTTATTCACTAAATTATTTTTTTGAATACAAATACTTTTGTAATCTGCATACAAGACGAATGCATATCATAATATATAGATTTCATTGGTGATAACGTATGATGTTGTGGAGAAAGAAATAACATTCGATTCAAACTTAACAAAGATTCCATTATGTTACCTGACAAATAAGATCGAAATGTGAATTAGGCAATCTTTAGTATAGGTAAGGACAAGGATTGTTCTCATCCTTTGTCTATGTAGATGCATGTAAGAAATAGATACGATTTTTCTTTGCAAAGCTGCCACGACTATATACAGGATGTTTTTTTTTGGAAAGATAAATGAACAAAATGTTTGAACATCCGGTATTGCTCAAAACTGTTGAACAAGATATTTTTATTATTATTTCTTATGTAACACTGAGTATCCAACTAAAATTCAAATAGTAGTTTGCACAGTTAACTAAGGTCTCGATCAAATGCACCATATATCGGAGTTTTATAGTTGGACTTTATCGAAAATATTTCTACAAATAAATGTGGAAACATCGGATTTAAATCCGAGTGTTATGTGTACTTCAAAAAGTGAATTAGACAGATGAGTCATCCTAGCACGTTTAGACATCAAAATTATCCTAGCGAGTCCCTTCTATTAAAACTTGATTTATATTGGTTACTGCTCAAAGAATACGGTTTTGGGGCAAATATAGCTCAGATTTAAACTCTTCGCCTTTAATTACCCTCAGAAAGTAGTTTTTCCTAAAACTTGATTTCTATTGGTTGTTGCTCAACCAATAGGGTTTCAAGGCAAGTGAAGCTCAGATTCGAGTTCTCCGCCCTAGAAAACCTCGAAGTATCATCTCTGTGGTCGGAAGACTGAGCTTTAATTTTCGATCCATTGAAGCGTGGACAAAAACAGAACCGATTACCGTTTAAGTATCTTTGCAATAGATGAGTTAGCCTTCTTGTTTCTTAATGTTTTATATACTATTTTGTAGCTCGTGAAATTCTCTATCGAATGGTATATAATAGTTGGGGTTTTGTTTAATTATGAGAGGAAAAGTTTTTTACGAAAACCGGCATAGGTCAATATTTGCATAGAAAACCGTAGGGAATAATGACTCTTTTTGCGATAAGCCAGCAATGGCTCGACGAATCATTCTCATCTTCGAACTCGACCGAGATATTAATGAGACAAGACTGTAGAAAATTTCATCGTGTTCGGACTCTCCTTTCAAAAGTTATCGTGTAAACGGACGGATGGCCGGACACACTGACGGATTCTAGAGTGTACTCACTTTTTGAGTACACAAAAACACTTTTTGTTTTACTACATTTATTTATAGTAATGTTATTTGTAATTCGATTTCTTCGTATTTTTCTGAGCGATTGTCATCAACAAACAGGTAAAAAAACACTGCGTATATTTGATAAAGAAAAAGTAATTGTTTTGGATTGAAATCGGGTATGCGGTGTGGGTGGCTGGTGTATGGGTATGGGTGTGGGTATGGATGTGGGTGTGGATATCGGTGTGGGGTGGGTGTCGGTGTAGATGAATACAGAAAATATTAGCACCCACACTTAATTCGGGATCAGCATCGAATTCCGCGTCGAAAGATGCTAAATTTATCAAAATTTAAGAAAAATATTTTTTCAATGGTCCTGAGGTCCCCTACAGGTGTCCAACGGACCGTGAAAAATGAAAGTCGGCTCTGCGCAAAAAAAAGTACACTGGTTTACTCAGAATTTGATGGTGATTCAGAATATGTAACTCTTATTGAAAAATATTTTGGGCAAAAAAAATGGCTTTATCGATACTTGTCTTTTTGCTAAATTTTTAAAGCAAATGAAACATGATTAGCTGATATGGTTTCCAAGGTAGCTAAAAATTCTTTCAGAAAAAGAGCTCAAAAAAACTTTTAATTATTTGTTAGAAAAGATTAATCTTGGAATAAATAATACTGACAACTATTCTCAACATTTGATAAAATAAAATTGAAAATATCTTCTTATATTTATATTTTTATTTAATAATGACAGAACTTTTGGTCAGATCTAAGTATTTTAACGAGAGAAAAGTCTAGTTTTTGCTGACTGTTCTCACTAAAAGCAGATTTTTTAGGCGAAGAACAACCCTAGGAACGAAATTTGATTTTATAAACTGATAGAGCATGAAATTCTCTATCGATTGATATTTTTTTTTTCAATTCAAAAAAATCTCTTGGTTAGAAAATGTGAAATACTGAAAAGCACTTAAATCTATTTTTGCATGGAAAACAAATATTTTAATTATGAAAACTTAATATACAAAGATAGTCTCGTTCTATAATATATCATATAGTCGACCTCTCGTACTATCCATGTCACCATTTGAATCAGATTCGTACCTCTTAATATAAAAAAAGAAACTGAAAAAAGAAATGTTAAAAAAAACCTGAAAAACCAATTTTGCTTAAACTTGTGCCCTTCATTGTACATAAGTGACATCGCAATCGAGCGTTTGATGTACCATTTTCGATTGGTAACATCAGCGTCTAGAGAATAAGCATTCTCGTATGTTCTTTTTCCTTGTGTTGTTCTCTTTTCCGCACACATAATAATCAATATACGATACAAGATGGTTTCTTATAATGACGCAGAAGACCAACGTGGCATAATCAAGTGACATAGCGATATCGCTGTAATAGAATATTCTATACGAGACAAATTTTCTTGGTCTCAATTCGTGGTTATGGGATACTGTCTTATCTTTGATTCAGTCTCATTGACCTTATTGGTCATAGTCGCAATATTGTTTGCATGCTATGTGTGAGTATCTTAACAGTTTCATGACATTCAAACAAAGTTTTTTAATAGGTATAACTTACGCAAAAATAATCTTTTTCGTCGTTTGGGAATACCCGGTCCATCTCCAATACCGCTTCTTGGAAATCTTTTGAATATTATACGAAAGGTACTTGTTCTTGTATTCAATAAGTTCTTACAAAGTTCGAACTTGAATAGGGTTTATATTTGAATGATATCGAAATGGTACAAAAGTACGGAAATATTTTCGGGTAAGTACACATAGATCAAATGTCTTCGATTACTACTCTCAGAAAATTGTCAAGGCATTTTTCTTCTGCATAGTTTCCCCTAATATTGAGATTTAGGAAACAACGTCTTATTCGACACATGCAAAAGTTATTGCTGAAAATAGAATTTTGGACGCAAATTTCTTTACGATACTACTTAGCGTCAGTTCGATTCACTGAAACATTTACCTGATGAACAAATCGAATTCTCTTCGATTTTGATAAGGTTCACCTTTCTCTTTCTAGAACGTTCGAAGGCACAATACCTGTCATTATTTTATCTGATCCAGAACTTCTTCGAAAAGTTCTTATCAAAGATTTTCATGTCTTTACTAATCGACGAGTGAGTACAAATCGTTGAAAGTTGAATTGACCTTTTTTCTCTCGCGAAGATACTCAAGGGATTAACGGGTCCACTCGAACATGGACTTACGATGTTAAGAGATGATGCATGGAAGAATGCTCGTACAATTGTTTCACCTACATTTTCGTCCGCGAAATTAAAAGCGGTATTTATCACTTTTTTTCAATAGAAAAATAATCAATCAATTCATACTATATAGATGCACAGTCTTATCGATCAAATAGGTGATGGTTATAGCAAACGTCTATTGGAATATGCCGATAAACAGGAAATGTTCGATGTGAAATTGTAAGTCTGAATTTGTTTTCGATTGGTAAATTAATATCAAATTTTTATTAGGATCAACAGTCAATATACTCTAGACAATATTGCTTCGTGTATGTTCGGTCTAGAGACGAATTCTCTTCAAAACTACAATGCTACTTTAATCAATCATCTGAAAAAGATTTTCACTTTCAATTTGTCTAGTATATTAGCATTGATATATCGTGAGTAAATGCGGATCAGTAATCTTCTATTTCTTGTTTGTGTATTAATCAGTAATTTCACCTCGATTGACCAGTTATTTGGGTTCAAAAGGTTATACATTACTGCCGACAGATTCGATGAATTATTTGACGCTACTGGTAAACGAAGTCTTAGATCGACGTCGTCATCGTATTGAAAGACGAAATGATTTTGTTCAAAATATGATTGATCATGAAGAAGAAATTCATAACGAAGAAATAAAAGAACAATCAAATGAAAATATCCAACAATGGAGTTCCTTGAAAAAAAGTAACTGGATAGTAATGCAGAGTTCATCTTTCAATTTTGATTTTAGCCTTAAGTGATAGAGAAATTCTTGGTCAAGCGTTAATCTTTCTGATAGCGGGTTATGAAACAACAAGTACACTGCTATCATTCTTTTTCTATGTTATGGCAATATATCCTGACATTCAAGAGAAAATCTATGCCGAAATTCAACAACAACTAGGATCTGTATGTCATCACATTCGTAGAAAAGAATTTTTCATCCATGTAGATGTATAGGACGAAATCACGTATGATAAGATACATCAATTAGTCTATTTGGATATGGTAATCAATGAAACACTTCGCATGTATCCACCTGTTTTAAGGTCAGTTTAATCTTTGACTTTCATCTTATTTTCAAAACGATGAAGATGGTATAGACTCGAACGCATCGCATCGACTTCGTACGATCTTGGAGAATATCATATTCCAAAAGGATCAATTATTGGTGTACCGATCTATGCAATCCATCACGATCCAGCCTTTTGGTCCGATCCAGAAGAGTTCATTCCGGAGAGGTACTGTTGATGTATTTTTATTGACTTACGTTTTCTCTTGGTTAGATTTTCGTCAACAGACGGAGGAAAACGGTATTCGATGACTTATTTACCATTCGGTGATGGACCAAGGTAGTGGAAATGCATACTAGCATTGAGAAGTAATTCTCTTGTTTCAATTGTAGAAATTGTATTGGCATGCGATTTGCCTTATTCGAAGCGAAGATAGCTATTGTTAAAGCCTTACGTATGGTGGAAATCCAACGTTGCGAAAAGACCGAGGTATGTATTATGACACTGTAGTTTCACTTCGTTTATTTTCGGTCGCTTTTCAGGTCCCACTTCAACTGGGTAAAATGAAAATTTTATCTGCAAAAAATGGTATTATAGTGCGTGTGACTCGACGATCCCAATAATTAATTAACATTCAATTCATTTATTTTCGCGAATGTACTTCTGCTTTTTACTATGTTTGATTTTATTTGTATTACATGCCATAGTCTGAACTTGAATCGTTCAATAAAAAAAAAAGCTTCATCATTCGTTCATTTTGATGTTGAAATAGTCTGTATTCTCATCGGTCTTCCGAACTTGAAAGAATTCCTTTGGTTAATCACAATTCTATTTGACATGATATCGAGAACGTTATCATCACTCGTCAGTTCAATACGGCTCCCTTTTTATGTACGAGAGATGGCTGCGAGAGGGTGTGGGTAGGTGTCGATGAAAGCAGATCACCCACACCCTCAAGCTTGATATAGTAGGCACAGAGGGCAGCATCACATGCTAAAGATGATGGCAAAAAGCTTGACACAAATGAGGAAACATCAAAATATGCATTGTTTTGAGGGTGAATTTCATCGAATAGAGATTAAAATCATGGTTTTTTGATCATTTTACGGGGTGAAAATAATTCGGTTTCGCAAATTTTTGCTCAAAATTTGGCGATGTCTTGGTAAAATTTTGAATGAAAAATTTCATGTTTGGATAGAATGATTGTTCGAATTCATATCTATATGTATAATGTTTTATTTCTCTATATCTGTTCAAGAAATCGGTTACATAGAGCAGATGCACTCTGATCACGAACTTTATGAGCTTCACGATGGACGTACATCCGGCTTCTGTTGAAGAAAAAAATTCTTAGATTTTATTTGTCCAGATTCCTTATCAGATCCGTATTTTGTTTTGAAGTCTTCATACGTATGTATGTATCATCCTTGAGTTTCCTTTGAAACTAACACCCACTCTGCCAGATCCTGCACAAGGGACTCTGCATGTTCATCAATAACAAGTAAATGTTAATGTAAATATTGAAGAAAGAGCTTCTCATTCTAAACATTATAGCTTACCAACGAGTTATTACAATATGTCAAGAATATTAAACGAACTCAAACAATGCAACAAGGCTTTCAAATATGCTGAACTTGTTTTTCAATTAGCTAGCAAATCGTTAACGTCAAATTATCTAGATGCAGTAATGTTTTTAAAGAGTATTTCCAAAAACTTCAAACAAAACTGTCGTAATTCGCTCGTTGCATTTATTTCTCTACATTCTGTCACTGCTGTCTTGAATATAAAACTAGAGATCACATTTCATTAGAAAAATGATATCCTATTGTTGATGATGACCATACTCATAAAAGGTCAACAAGGTCAGTGTCGATGTATAATTACTTCTACTGCTTTCATTTATTTTCATATCATTACTATATATTCAAGTTCTTCATTTATACCTATCACAAATTTATCTTTGAGAAATCTTAAAAACATCAACGACTATGACATGATATTTTCTCTTAAAAACGCTAAAAAATAGATGTAGAAAAAAATTGGTCGGATCAAACTATTTCGAATATTCTCGATCGGTTACACCTCTGTAATGCAGCACATTGTATTTTTTCTACATGGACAGTAGATATAGATTTTAAACATATCTGACTTCTCCTTCCTCAAAAATCCAAATGTGTAATTAAATACTGGTCGATAATCAAAATAATCGTTTTTGTTGTTTATTTAAAAAGATTTCGAAAATAATACGTTAGGCAATTTTAGAAAAAATACAAAACAAAGTATAATTTTTGTTCGATACTGAAAATTTCTTCTATAAAATTTTGATCGAATTGTAATAAAGAAAAAAAATTTTTTTTTTTTGGAAACTTACCATATTCATTTCTTTTTTTATTTATTTATTTTTCTGTATCAAACAATTTGAAGAAATAAGTGAACACAGTTAAAATAAAAAGTAGAAATATTCGAGAAAGAAAAAGCAACAACTTTTACAAGGTTAACAGTTTATAGCAGATCCAATTTCTGATCTACAATAGTAGACTAGAACAGCACACTTGAATGAATGGCCTCATTACTTCTGAAGAGTTTTCGAATGAATACAGTTTTATTCGGAAAAAAGAATTTATATAATTCGAGAATTTTGAAGAATTCTTTCAACACAGAAACATTTTAAGAAATCAAGACAGCACATAGTTATCTTCGTAATAGTAATCTATGCTGTCGAGATTATCTTCTCGCGTCGGTGATATAAATGATATTGCAAACAGGAAGGTTCTTTGCGTCCGACACATTTACAAAAGGACAGCGATAATTTGTTAAACAAAAAAGTTACAGATGCAGCAAAAATTATCCGTACGATTTCTTGTTTAATCAAACATAATCAAAATACAGGCTTTTTTAGATTTGGTGATTATGAAAAGAATCACTATCTCATCTAGTATTTACACTATAAAGATTAACGTTATAGATTGAATCTATGTTGAATACGAGATCAATCTTTGAAAACTATGCATGTTTTAGACGTAAAAATTATCTGTACGATTTCGATTAGGGTGACATTGAACAATAAAAGAAATGTCACAAACAACCAAATCGTACCGATAATTTTTGCGTCTAAAACGTACACAGTTTTCAAAGATTGATTTCATATGCAACATAGACTCAGTCTATAACGTTAATCTTTTTAGTGTAGATACTAGATGAGATAGTAATTCTTTTCATAGTCACCAAATCTAAAAAAACTTGTATTTTGATTATGTTCGATCAGAAAAGAAATTATACGGATAATTTTTGCCGCATCTGTATATTACTAGAATAAAGCTGAAGAGGACAAATGAGTTCCACATTCTCGTCTCTTTATGGGCCGCACTGGATAAGTTTACTTAACACATTAAACCAAAAACCCTGAGAAACAGTGAATTGCCTATAGAAGTGTTTTTATGCATCGTTGTCATAAACAAAAAATCATTGTAATGTTATGTTTAAATATGTCATGATTTTGTAGTCTTTGAAATATATTGTATATGAAAACAAAAACAAAATTCTGCAGGTGTTGTGTTTGTTGATATAATTCTCGACGATTACCTAATGATGATCATCAAATATTTCTTTTTAATTCATTTTATTCAATACCCAGGACGAACAATCCGACAGTGGATCCCATCGGATCCTATCGAATCCTATCCAGATCCTATAGGATTTTATTGGATCCGGGTTACGATCCGACTAACGGACCCATAGTAGTGGAATCCGATCGGAATCCGATAGGATACTATAGGAATCTCGTCGGAATCCGACTGCTGGAGTTCCTATCGAATCCGACTGTTGAATTTGATCGGATCTCTGTCGGATCCGATCGGATGTCTCTCGGATTCCAACACTAGGACTTGTTCGTCGGATCGTGACCCGGATTCCGATCGGATTTTGTAGGACTCGTTGGATCCTATAAGATACCATCGGATCCGTGTCGGATTGATTGACCTGGGTAGTTAAAAAAATGGTTTAACAGATAAAAATGAAATTTTTCTAATATAAAAAATTTCATGTAGTTAGTTTTCAGATTTATTTTGGTAAAAGTTTCATCATGGACTGGATGTTGTTTAGTATTTCTATTACGAATTTCATTTTTATAATGAGAACCCTCCATGGAGGATCAATAAATATAATATCGTGATATAAATCCTTTATACGATTAATACTATCGCTATTTATAGCATTAATATTCGATAAATTCTATAAATCAGTATTATTTTTTTAAATAAAGGATTTTCATTTTATCAATTTCAATTGAATTAACATATTTAAAATGTTGAGCAAAGATAATAGAGTTTCTTCCAACCCCCATCTGTTATATTGGTTATTATAATGTCTATTATAATATTCCGTTGATTATATGTAGCAATATAATATATCGCTTGATTATCTATTTTTAATAATTTGTACTTATCATTATTTTCAAGATAAGGGAAAAGGATTTGATAATTTATAACATTCATATTAATATTCCTTTTTTATTAAATAAATCATTTAAAATTAGTAAAACAGGCTTATAAATAATGTTCTAATAATTGATGACAATATTTTCAGACTATCAGTAAATAATATCATTCAGGATTATATGTTATTTCTAGTGTTGTTGAATTCGTTTAAGTTGTTGCCTCTGGATGACTAATAAGATCCATGATGAGAGAAAACATGTAGGTTTTCATGTTGACTTCAATATGTGGTCCGCACAAGATAACACGTCCTTTACCAAAAGTACCAGCAATGATGGTAGCCTTGTTGACAAGAAAGTCATGAAACTTTGAGTTTGAACTATCAGTATCAGTAATCGTTGCTAATACTGTCACGTTAGTTGACAGCTGATCGAACTGGTAGACAGCGCCATTATGATAAGTTGTCTTATAAACTGCATTTGTCCTAGTATCATTCAATGTTACATTGGTCCGAATATTCGTACCACGTCCATAAAGAGAGTATCGAACTGGAAGTAGACCAATACCGATATGCTTTGTACCAGTGATATCATTTGTTGAAGCGAGATATGCACCAGCACAAAGTCCCAAATAGCCGCCACCATTGGCAACAAAATGGCGAATAGACTCGATGCCATTCTCACCTAAAACCTTCTGATAGAGTCCTGCAAATCCACCAGGAATTATAAGAACATTATAATCACTGGTGAGCTGCGTAATGTCAGCAGAAATCACATATGATACATTTGTGGTTCTGAAGAGACTGACAAGATGAACGGCATTCGCCTTGTTTGTTGTAAAGATAAAAACGTGCATTAGACGCAAATCTTTAATAACAATATAAGAAACATATATGAACATTTCAATTTTTTTTAAAGCATTTTTATTAAGTTGAATTATACCATTTTGAATTTGATCAATATCAGTTTTTTATCTTATTAGTTTATTAATAGATTTAGTTTTTTATTTTTATAAAAGATGATAGTATTTCTTGTTTGTTTTCGAAAAAGCAAAATTCTGTGCGACCACTTTTCGTAGCGTCGAAATATGATCGCTCAGAAGTTTATCGATTTGAAATACAAAGAATGCAACTGTAGAATTAGTTATTCTTTGTAGATTGTAGATCTTCTCACGCTGCATCTTGTGGTATA